CAAAATTCACATAATGTTGATGCTTTCCAGTGAAAGAGTTAAGCCTTTTTCAACAGATTTTTATAGTTTGTTCTTATGTTGTGCTGTTTCACCAGGGTCGAGCGCTCCCAAACATGTTTAACCCCGCCACATTCTTTATGTGCCTGTCCCAAGTCAGGAGCATGTAGTTCAGTGGTTGTCGTTGGTTCGTGTCGGTCAAATTTGTTTTTCGTAAATTGTTTTGTTTTAAATTTGGCCATTAGTTTTCTCAGTTGAATATATTCAGTTTCATATTATTTATGTTGGGGCCTTTTATATATAGCCGCCCATACGGCATGGGGTTTTCTCATTGTTGAAGGCTGTACAGTTGCCTATTATTGCTTACATCCACTTCATTTGAACTTTGGTGGATAGTTGTCTCATTGGCAATCATACCTCATCTCGTTATTTTAATATTAGGAATAGACTATTAACTCCTGACATAATATTGACAATAGACCATATACATGGGTTGCTGACCTATTGATGTTTTGTCACAATATCAACTAGTATTTGGCAAGATTGTTGGTTGTCATATTAATAATAGGTTTTATATGAAAATATTTGTTTTGGTCATTTATGGAACCTGTTAAGTTACTTCAATTTTGCATACCTTCAAAGCTTGACAAATTGTAGACATTTGTATATTGTTCAACCTTGTATGTTGACCTTCAAATATCTCTTGAATTTTTGTTTTGTTAGGTTCCTGTCACAATGATGTATACCTCACATCTCCATTTATTCATAATATAATACATACTAGTATTTACATTTCATTTGTTGTTCAGAATGGTAGATTTTTCAGGTTTCAAAGTTTATATTTTTTATTGACAACTTGTTTATGCTCTAAGTGAATGACTTTCATCAAAGTGTATCAGTACTGGTAATCCCACTTGACTAATTAACTGGTTCGTGATAGTATAGAATATGAAGATTATGTCGTCTTGTTGATGTCGTTTCCAACATCTCTTACACAGATTTCCATAACTTGATGGAAAAAAAAACATTCCTTAAAACCATTGATTTTTTTCTCAGGTTTTTCCAATTCATTTAATTAATGAAATTCAGACTATAAAAAACACTATCCATCCTGTACTACAACTACTCAATAATTGACATCAGTTATTTAACAGTAGACATTCTTACAATGCTTCATAACTTCTTCTGTTTCGTGCATGACTGAACTAATAATAATAGTACTTAGAGCTTGACATACTGTTACAAGTCAGTGGTTGTTTTACACAAGTCATAATATTTTTTGTTATCCAGAAATAAGGAATTTATGACAGATCTTTGATAATTTGTGTTAAGTTTAGTCACACCAGTCTATTGTGGCAGACTGGATGTTGCCCTCGATTAATTTTTGCTAATTAATTTGTGTAACTGGGTTGCTGTTTTATTGATATGTACCAAAAATCTCCCTTTAATAAAATAAGATAACACCTTCAATAATCATTGGGTTATTTCATCTTCCAACTTCTTGGTGCATGTGTACCAGAACTAATTAGTTCACATTTACCAGAACTTCTTAGTGCACATGTACCAGATCAAATATTTACCAGGTTATAAAAATTAGTCCTGGATACTAGCAAGCTTTAAAATGATTATAACATTTTGAAATCATGATGTGTATGAAATATTAAGATCTGATTGGATGCATCCAATGAAAACAAATCCTTGGGACATGTACATACACTATAAATTAATTCACTACTGAGGACTTGTACACTATAAATTAATTCACTACTGAGGAAGAGTAGTATATCTCAATAATGATCTAGTGAAGATGGAATGATGGTCTCCTAAGGACTAGGAATGGTTACCATGTATTAAGCCTATTTGATGAGATTTTTCATTTTAGTATATTTAAAGTTTAACATAATTATTATACATGATGTAATTTATGAACCCAGAAGGCTCATAGTTTTATACAGTTCAACAGTGGTTGAGTTGTTATTTTAACTTCCATGAATTTGAAGGGCAAAATTGACTATAAAATGACAACTGATAAAAATTTGACAAATATAACATTTAATGTATTCATTTAATTGTTCTGAATGTCATCCCACATTAAATGCCCCCACAACAACCCCCATTCTAGATTTGTTGTATTGTTGACAAAAATTTATTTTTGGATGACAATTTTGAAAATAAATGGAGAATGTGTCCATGGGACACAAATGATGCCCCAGCTTACATATAATGTTATACAAGAGTGCACACGCTGAAATGTCTCGCCTTCTTTACTCACCATTGATTTTATGTTGATAGTCCTAAATATAAAGCTTTACTACAAGAAACACATAAACTTAACATGATCCAAGAAAATGAGGTCAAGGTCATATAAACCAAACGAGAAATACATGTACACCTTACAATCATTCAATAAACCAAACATAGTTGACCTATTGCTTATAGTTTCTAAGAAACAGTCTTAACCAAGAAAACTTAACATTGACCAACGAACCATGAAAACGAGGTTAAGGTCAGATGAACCATGTCAGACAGACATGTACACCTTACAATCAATTTATGCATTTAATATAGTTGACCTATTGCTTATAGTATCTAAGAAACAAACTTAACCATGAAAGCTTAACATTGACCAATGAACCATGAAAATGAAGTCAAGTTCAGATGATACCTGCCAGACAGAAATATACACCTTACAATCCTTCCATACAACAAATATAGTTGATCTATTGCTTATAGTTGAAGAAAAACAGACCAAAACACAAAAACTTAACACTGAGAAATGAACCGTGAAAATGAGGTCAAGGTCAAATAAAACCTGCGAGACTGACATGTACATCATAAAATATTTCCATACACCAAATATAGTTGACCTATAGCATAAAGTATTAGAAAAAAAGACCAAAACTCAAAAACTTAACTTTGAGGTCAAGGTCTGATGACACCTACCAGTTGTACATGTACACCTTACAATCATTCCTTATACCAAATATAGTAGACTGACTGCTTATAGTATCTGATATATGGACTTGACCACGAAAACTTAACCTTGTTCACTGATCCATGAAATGAGGTTGAGGTCAAATGAAAATTGTCTGACAGGCATGATCTGAGTTTTGTGGTAATAAACATTGTGTATAAGTTTCATAACATTTGGTTGAGGCAAACTAAAGTTAGAGAACGGAAACCAATTTTGGGATGTACAGACTGACAACGGTAAAAATTAATGCCCCCTCCGCAGTGGCAAGTGCATAAAAATCATAAAATTTTCTTTTTCATTACTTTTTTTGCTGATTTTGACAAATACAGTTGGGAAGTTAGAATTGCAGAACGATAAATATATTTTTTTTAATTCTTTAATATTGAACTCCTAAGATAAATTTCAAAAGTTGAAAACATTGATAAAATGAGGTAAAGAGGTCCCATATAATTCCTGTCCCTTTGGTGAAATGAGGTCAAGTAGTTTAAAAAGAAAACTTTTAAAAAGAAGTTTACTGGCAACCAATGGGCAATTGATAATGTGTGCCAAGTGAAGGCTTAAGATGACACCAAGACTTTGGGCATGGAAAAGTAATAATAAAGGAAAGAAAATTTCTCATTCTACATGATGTTCAGTGCTTGTTACATCCAGTCTGCACCAGAATCTTTTCCAACTACTAGTCTGCTGACCAATTCTCCAACATTTTTCTTATGTGTCTAAATAAACAGCTGCGCCATGAGCGCATGATACGCCCGTCGTCTTGTGTGTGAATTTTTATGCAATAAGCATAAATAGTTTCTGACATACGGCGTGACATGCGAAAACCCCCTTTTTTTTTTACAAAAAACTCAATATCTCTAAAATAAAATTTTGAATCAAAACCAAAAAGTATACAGATCTTAAGATTAATATAACCAAGAAGTGTGTCAAATTTTAAGCAATAATCATAAATCGTTTTTGAGATACGGCGCGACATGTGAAAACCCCCCCTTTAAAAAAAAAAAAAAATCAATATCTCAAAAATAAAATTTTGAATCAAAACCAAAAAGTATACAGATCTTTAGATTAATATAACTAAAAAGTGTGTAAAATTTTAAGCAATAATCATAAATCGTTTTTGAGATACGGCGCGACATGTGAAAAACCCCTCCCCCTTTTATTTTATAAAATACTCAATAACTCAAAAATAAAATTTTGAATCATCACCAAAGAGTATACAGATCTTAAGGTTAATATAACTAAGAAGTGTGTAAAGTTTTAAGCAATAATCATAAACTGTTTTTGAGATACACCTGTTTTAGTTACTAAGTCCCGTAACTCAAAAAGTTTTAATCTTATTTTCACCAAAAAGTATACAGATCGTTTGACCATCATAAGAAACAACTATATTAAGTTTCATGAAATTTGGATAAGTCATTCTCAAGTTACGGTGCGATATGTTTACGCCGGACAGACAGACGGACAGACAGATGGACGGACGCCGGACATTTGTATACCATAATACGTCCCGTCAAAAATTTGACGGGCGTATAAAAAATTCTTGCAAATACTTACTAGTCAGAATAAAACTTTACTTGTCTGGGATATCGGGCTAGTAGCTAATGGTGCTGACTGTACATCTGTACATATCAAGAAGGTACAATATAGTCACTTTTCTAATCAATTGGTTTTAAAAGATCACACAATATCATAAATCTTTCCAAAACATCTTCAGATGTTCATAACACATTAGCCTGCTAGATATCAGTAATTTATATCTTTGAATTCTTTCTTAGATATTTGCTTTATATCTTTAAACCTCTTTAATTTTATGGAAAATGGCACAGTTTGCTTAAATTGCCTGATATTAAGTCATATACATGAACCCAAAGTGAAATCACATAGAGATGACATTACTGTACTAAAGAGACCAGACTGTTAATTCATTATTCAATAAAATTAACATCATTTTGAAGCCTTTTTATATTTTACAATACCAGGGTTAAATTATTCCTCTATTTATAACCACTTCTTCATAATTATAACAAACTTTTTTTTAAATTTGTGTTTTATTTCATATTTTAATTTATACATAAGCTCTATGTAAACACTACATATTATATACATATAGTTTTTCAAAATGTTTTCAACTATTTAAAAACAACCACACATATTTGACGTCTCACATTTTAATGGTAAGACATGCTAGTTTTCATCCACAACTGACCCTTCAAATTTAAATAAATCCCAAGATTTATTTAAAATTTAAAATTTGAACCATTTGTAATAAAATCCCACTCATTCTGAAGCATTCACACCTACATTATCTTACCAAACATTCAACATGTTAGATTTTATAGGATGACGATATTATGATAAACCACACTCAATCTTGTAATCCTCATTGTCTATGTAGCCTATAACAGATTAATTATTATTCCTGGGGTACTAATTTTCTTGTGGGGTTGATGGAGGGATAAAAGGTAGATTCCCCATGGTAAACCATTGATTTTGATTCCTATTTATTTACCCCTAGGTCAGTGGAATGCGGATTTTCTTAAAACACCCAAAGCAGAAGTATTTTTTCATGTTTGGAACCTTCTGGACTTCTCAATTCCCTGTGTTACATGCGTCCGTACAAAGAGTTCAGCTCATCCTACCCAAAATGCCGTTTTTGTTGGCAGTTCCATTTTCTAGGTCTGATTTTTGTTCCATCGATCATTAAATTTCACTGAATGTCATAAAAAAATAGCTTAAACTTGTTGCAGAAGTATATTCTGTGAAATGACAATGGACTCACCCCCTTTGAAACTATTGAACACTGTGGGAGGCCAAAAATTGTTAAAAGATAATAATTACATTACATGTATGTTTCATTATAATACATTATTTTGATTGGCTAACAGCAATCTCAAACATTCTGAAATTAATCTTCATTTCAACATGAAATGTAAAATTCATGATGACACAAGCTTCCACAATAAAGTGCACAGATAAACAAAAGAAAAACTTGATAGAAATCGTGTTTTCATGATCCTAGAAAAAAATGTAATTATAAGTATTGAATGCTTCTTTTAGTAGTTTTATAGGGTTGCAAAAGCGTTGACCGTGCGCACATTTTTACAAAATGTACTTCTGTCAACGCTTTTACACCCCAATAAATTTACAAAAAGAAGCATTCAATTCTTAATTAACTGCATTTGAATTTTTAGATTGAACAGACTCATTTCAGAAAGGTCTATAATGATATTGACTGACAAGAAAAACATACCAGTAGGTCTGGGAACACAGTTTTAATTCTTTATATTTAATACATTAGATAGGAGGTAGGGGGTGAAATTGGATATAATAACAAAAATTTTAAGGTAAAGTAGTGATTTGATCCATTTGAAAGAGGTAAAGAATTAGTATGTTTGAAGCTATAAATCTGAATTATAGACCCCTTCACATAAAATTGTCCATATTTTCAGTTAGAGCTGGTAGACTTTTCTATAATTCTAATTTAATTTGTCCCAAACACTTAATACACTGTAAAATTTTTATTGAGAAAACACGGGTGTTTTTTTTTCAATTTTGCATTTATTGTTCTAAAGAAATGCACTACAAAATAACTGTGTTCTCGGGCCAGTACATTTTCATGAACAGAATTGACCTGGGTTTTGAAACATTCATAATATTCAGTCACTGACATGACTCAGTTGGTATTACAGGGGACTTTTTCAATAATTCCTGTTCAAAATATGATTACTTTATGGTGATTAAGTTAAAAGTAAAAAATAAAATTTTGTAGTTTTATACTTTAAACTTTACATAATGGTGACATAGATACAAACAAAATATTATAAAGTTTACTGATTTTTGCTAAGTAACTTTTCAGAACAATGAAATGATAAACATAATGATTCACTTAGAAACTCCATCATAACTGGAATTAATAACATAAACAATCCTTACTGCAGATACACAAACTTTGGTAATCACTCGATCAGTTGACAGTACTTTGTAGAACTGTACATGATATCATTAACAAATAACTGTATCTCCAAGAAATAAGTCACAAGTATCACATAAAGAAAAAATATTCTATTAAAACACTCGATTTGAAATCAATATCCATGCTTTTGTCTCGTGACACAATTTTCTGTGTTTACAAACATACAGATGGCTTCCATGGTGTGGTGATCTTTAAATTAAGGGAGATAATCCACAGTCAATGTTTGAACTCTCTATACTCTGTACTGTGTTCTGCAAAAAGAGAAATAATAAATATTACATTTTTGGGGGAAATCTTTACAACATATAAGATAAGATAAATTTTATTTCCGATAGAGGACCCATTATGGGCATAATCAGTACAGTGATTTTTTTTCAAATATGAATTCAAGATGTGGGATATAAATCAATGAGACAAGGACCCAACAATGTAGAAAAACAAGTATGTTTATAAATGGACATAACTCAAGAATGGTAAAAGTGTTCTCACCAAATTTTGTACTTAATCTGTATTATGTAGTAATAAGCATTGTGTATAAGTTTCATAACATTTGGTTGAGGCAAACTAAAGTTAGAAAACGGAAACAAAAATTTGTACTTGATCTTAGTTTTGTGGTAATGAATATTGTGTATAGGTTTCATAATGTTTGGTTGGGGTAAACTTAAGTTACAGAATGGAAACTAAAAATTTTGCAATCTTTCGATTTATAAAGAGGCATAACTCAATAATGGTTAAAGTGACACTACCCAAATTCAACTTGATCTGTGTTTTATCAGTGGAAGTCAAAATTAAACATTGCATTGTATAAAGCATTGATTGTAGTTGATTCAACTATAATCATGGACAAAGGAAGATAACTCCAATTTTAAAAATAACTTGATATTTAGAAGAAAATAAAAATTTTGCAATTTTTCAATTTATAAAGGGGCATAACTCTAGAACAGTAAAAGTGACGCCACCAAAATTCAAACTTGATCTGTCTTTTGTGGTAATAAGCATTGTGTATAAGTTTTATAACATTTGGTTGAGGCAAACTTAAGTTAGAGAACGGAAACTAAAAATTTTGCAATTTTTCCATTTGTAAAGGGACATAACTCTAGAACGGTTAAAGTGATGCCACCAAAATTCAAACTTGATCTGTATTATGTAGTAATAAGCATTGTGTATAAGTTTCATAACATTTGGTTGAGGCAAACTAAAGTTAGAAAACGGAAACAAAAATTTGTACTTGATCTTAGTTTTGTGGTAATGAATATTGTGTATAGGTTTCATAATGTTTGGTTGGGGCAAACTTAAGTTACAGAATGGAAACTAAAAATTTTGCAATCTTTCGATTTATAAAGAGGCATAACTCAATAATGGTTAAAGTGACACTACCCAAATTCAACTTGATCTGTGTTTTATCAGTGGAAGTCAAAATTAAACATTGCATTGTATAAAGCATTGATTGTTGTTGATTCAACTATAATCATGGACAAAATAAGATAACTCCAATTTTAAAAATAACTTGATATTTAGAAGAAAATAAAAATTTTGCAATTTTTCAATTTATAAAGGGGCATAACTCTAGAACAGTAAAAGTGACGCCACCAAAATTCAAACTTGATCTGTCTTTTGTGGTAATAAGCATTGTGTATAAGTTTTATAACATTTGGTTGAGGCAAACTTAAGTTAGAGAACGGAAACTAAAAATTTTGCAATTTTTCCATTTGTAAAGGGGCATAACTCTAGAACGGTTAAAGTGATGCCACCAAAATTCAAACTTGATCTGTGTTTTGTGGTAATAAGCATTGTGTATAAGTTTCATACCATTTGGTTGAGGCAAACTTAAGTTAGAGAACGGAAACTAAAAATTTTGCAGTATTTCCATTTATAAAGGGGCATAACTCTAGAATGGTTAAAGTGACGCCACCAAAATTCAAACTTGATCTGTGTTTTGTGGTAATAAGCATTGTGTATAAGTTTCATACCATTTGGTTGAGGCAAACTCAAGTTAGAGAACAGAAACCAATTTTGGGCCGTACGTACAGACGGACAAGGGTAAAACTTAATGCCCCCACCGCTACGGCGGGTGCATAAAAAATACACGTGCGGGGGCATAAAAAATAGAAGTCACCATAGGATCTTAAACAATGGCAAATTAGTATTCAATGTTAGTGGCTGTCATATTTGTTATACCTCTGTAGCAGTATAACATAGTTAATTCATGTTGTTATACCTCTGTGGCAGTATAACATATTTAATTCATGTTGAACTAGAGGCTCCAACTGTCTCAACTTTGCTGAATAAAACTTTGTGAACCCTGTTCAGAATATTTGTAGGCTTTCTGTTGGTCTTGGAGGATATTAAAGACACCTCAAGAGCAAACATTTGACATGAAAGCTGAAGGTTATTGTAATTAACATTGGAGCACCAAAATATAAAAAAAATCCTCTTTGAAACCTTATTCAGTTTAAAATTTGTTAGAGGTTCCCTGTATCTAGTCTTCTAACCTGTAAATTAATTCAAAATCATATTAGCTATACTTATTTAGGAACTGAATATTCTATCTTAAATTATAGTGTACAAAGAATCAGGCATATATCTACAATACCAGGAGAATAATAGCTAAAAATGAGACTAAAAATGAGACATTAGTTTTTTTTATGATTTCAGGAAATACTGCATACAAATAAGCTAAAGTTTATATTTTTTGCAAACCTATACCTTCTCAATTTTTGCTATAATACAAACATCAAAAATATTTTAGAATTTCAGGAAATTCATATACGTCTTGTGTTGATTCCTTGGTAATGAAACACATATCTGCCCAACATCTCATTTTATCCATATTAATAAAAACATGTTCATGTTTAACAGAAATTAACATAATTTTGTTTGAGCATGTATCATTTATACCGGTACATGTGTCTTTAATACCTGACAAAATAATTAATATCATTTAAACGTAAAATATATTTTGAACCCAGTTTTCGGTCAGACATGTGAGTAAGAGAAGAAAATTACACTTCAACTACATGAACTAGTCCCTTCTCACATTTTATTATCAATAAATCAAAGTGAAATCAAGATTTCATTTATTTCAAAAGTGCAATAGAAATTAATAATTCATATGCCCTTCTATGAATATACTTGGTCTAAATTATAACTAGCTGACGGTCACGACCAAACTCGTAAAGAAGACTAACGTCATACAACTCCTGTTAAATCATTTAAATGGGATATTAAATGCTTAGCACTGATAAAAGAAATGTAATTACACCTAATCAAACATATTCTATTGGTTTTGAATAATAAATAACCACAATAAAATCTCTGGTATTTCTTCGTTTACCTAGTAGTCTGGTGGAACTGTAAACCGTGTACAAACTTTGCACCTTGAAGTACTTTGATAGTCTATCTTAAGTCTATAAAATCTGATGCATTGAATAAAAGTTCAAATGAATTCAGGTCTGTCTAGATTTGACCTGCTGAATGACATTGAACTAGTACTGGACTAGTATTGGAACATAAAATCAAAGATTAATCAATTATTTCATGCAAGTTCAGCAAATTTGAAAAATAACAATATGGGTCATTTCAATATGCTAATATAATAACTACCTGGGTCATTTGGGAAGGTCAGACTATGAGATAAATTACTGGAAATAAAAATGTCTATCCCTTTACCATGTTTACCCATGTTAGATCTTGAAGATAACATGTAGTGACCCTTAAGAATAGAATCAACAAGGACAATGTAAATGGTTTTAAAGATCTCTTCTATATTGGGTAAATGTAGTTTCTTATATTCCAGTTACATGAACTGTAAACATTTGAGATGCACATGAGGAAGCAACATTCCCAAGACACATGTTTATTGAATACAATACATGTGTAGAGGACACAAATGCCACCTTCCATAAATTACCATAAATTATGATAATCTAACTATTGAGTGTGAAAGACTATTTAAAGATCAGTAGAGATTTTCACTTAATGATTTATAACATGCAGAGGAATTTTTGATGAGATTTTTCTTGAAAATGTCTACTGGACAGTTCGAAAAATCGAGTGACATAGAGAATTCCTATATTTAAAATTAGACAGTATAGTGGCTAAAATTATTTTAACAAGAGGTATTGAATTTTAAAGTATAAAACAGCACTTTTAACACTCCTGAAGGGATCTTAATAATCTTTACACAGAGTAAGCTCTGTTTGCTTAGATCTTCAAAATGATTTTAGATTACAAAAATTATATAAACACAAATTTACAGTTGTATTAAAATATTTACTGCTGTTCTCCTAAAAGTGCTTGCATACATTTATTAACAGAATACGCCCTTTATGGTACTTTTATAATGTTTAAATTTTCTAATTTTAAAAGGACTTAAGATCTTTTCTGACTAATGGATTTAATTGGAAAATTTTTAAATATTTACATTTTAATGTGTAAATAATCTTGAACATTTGATAAATAGTAGGATATGTGTGGTGCTGTCCACCCATTGGAATAAACAAAGAACTTATATACATATATGGACGAAAAAGTAGGCATCATTCTCGCTTTATTCAACTCTATGCATATTATTTCATGAGAGCAATTAAAAAAATTTCCTGGACTTTTCCAATTACTTTAGTAATTGTCCTAAAACGTATACTTCAAGGGTATGTGGTCATGTCCTTTTTTACTATGCTATTTTTTTATTAGCCTAAAAAATTAATAATATACAATTTGAATAAGAAAACCTTTGAAGTAACATTTGTTGAACAAAGTCTTTTTAAAAACTAGAGTCTCTAAAGAGCCTGTCCTGCTCACCATGCATCTTCAACAATGGCTGCTCACAAACATTGTAGGCTCACAGTGCATCATCATAAATGGCTGCTCACAAACATTGTAGGCTCACCGTGCATCTTCAACAATGGCTGCTCACAAACATTGTAGACTTAAATTTAAACATGACTAAAATATCTTTTTCAGATTTTGTATTGCTGATTAGTTTCTATTAACTACAGATTTTGACAAAAAACACAGCAACGGGTAACAATCATCATACAAGGGGAGTAACTCCTATAAGAAGAGGACTGACAGTATTGGCTTTGTTGACCTTTTTGTGTGTCTAGTCTAGGCGGGCCATCACTTTATTTATGTTTACAGTTTTTGCCCAAAAAGCAAAAGAAGCATGAAAACACCATTTATAACTACTGTAAATTCAGAAATTATTGCGATGTTTTTATTATTGCGAAAAATGCGATCGGGTCATAATCGC